AGCCTGGAATCATTCAAGAGAAGAGTTCGACTTATATAGGCGATCACTTTTCTGGCAGAGGCCTGCAAGTATATAACTTGATTTAAAAAATTAAATGAGGCAGAATATCTTAGATCAAGGTCTCGGATTGCGCCACATACAGGAATAGGGGCGTCGTTTTAGGTTAGGATGTTCGGAGAAGGGCCGCAGCCGTTTGTACAATAGATTACATTTTGCAGTGGCAAAGTGCAACTTCCAGGAGTTACTCCAGTACTTCAATGTGGGCAAGTCAGACTGAATACAGGCTAAATTAGGATTACGTTGCACAGGGGCGGACAAAAGTGCGCAATTTTAACATCATCAACGAAGAGGAATGGCTTTCCGTACAAAATTTCACCAAGGAGAACGTTGTAATTGATTAAAAATAAAAGCGGGCCTAGCACGCTACCTTGAATTACGCCCCTAGAGATTGAAGTGGCTTTAGATGTATAGTTATCAATATTGACTACTTGATTTCTATCCTCGAGGTAGGAGGGGGACCACTCAAGAAGCGAATTTGTGGAACCATAGGGCAGAAGCTTCCGCAACAATAATTTGTGTGGGAAATGGTCGAAAGCCTTTTGGATATCAAGAAATATTACAACAATGGCGCTTCCGGCGTCTCTTGCTCTAGTCATATAATCAAGAGAATCTAACGGACAGGTAGTGCATGACCTAGCTTTCAAAAAAGATGGTTCGGTCACGTCCTACGCATGGTACCTGAGCGTCTACCGCGTCGCGCTCTATTCGCTTGTCAATGACCTGGCTAGAAGCGACCACGTGGTCGTCAGTCTTCCACTTGGTGACAGCACATGAAATCGCTGACGTCGTGTCTAGCCACTACTGGATCCGGACGTCTTCCAGGATGGGGACCCAATGATGAGAAGTGCCAATGGCTTAACACTCTTGAAGACATGGTCTGCAACCGGAATCAGTGGAAGAATTGTGTACAGAATGGTACTGATTTACACGTTTAATACTTCAAATATTGAAGATGACAAGCAAGAAATATCGGCGTGTAGTAAACAGACTACAAATGTTTCGCTCTACTTTTTATCAAAACGTTCCTTTCTTCCTGTGGCATAGTAGTTGAAGTATGTTGCCCACCTACAACTACTATGCCACGATGCTTATCACGCCGTGACTTCCCCTTATCTGTTAATCTTCATGGATTTGTCGGCTCTATATCTAGTTGCTAGACTGTTGAAATTACATACATACTTCCTCAGTGCGCTGCTGGGATAAATCTGGTCGACGACCAAGTCAGCGGATTACGTTTGACCCAGCAACGCACTGAGGAAGTCACCTCGTGTGGTGCTAAACGTTTGCATACCGATGGCGAAGCTCGATGATCAGTTGAACCCAGGAACGATCAATCCGGGCTAACAGTGCATCAAGTCATTTTAAATATTTCCCGTCATCACTAAATAAATCTACTGCCACCTTCTGCCACGGTCGGTCATGGACATCATGCAGCAGCATTGGTTCACTTCTCTGCCGGATTTCGTGTGAACGTCACGCCTCCCAGTTCGATACATGATCTCTTATTTGACCCGTTATTCCTGGCCAAAAGATCAATTCTCCTGCTCGGTTTATGTTATAGATGGAACTCAGGAGAGCGCGATGAAAAGTTATCAGCATTTCTCCTCGGAGCGATGACGGAACCAGAATACGTCTTCGCTTGAACGGAAAACAATCATAGACAGAGAGTTGATCCTGAAAAATGAAGTAGCATGCCAGTTCCTTTGGCAGCTGCTGCTTTGTCCCTGGCCACCCATTTAGAATACTGCCTCGCAAAGCTGAAAGTGTTTTATCTTCCGCTGTGTGACACCTTATTTGTTTTAGGCTGTCTTCTGTCACTGCCAGATGCTGTACTGTTTACTACTTCGACCTCTTCCGGATTATGCTCGGGTACCGAAATATGGGCGCTGGACAGCGTATCCGCGATGAACATATGTGCACCAGGCGTGTACACAATATCCACGTCGTATTTTTGAAGCCGGATAAGCATACGCTAAAGGCGAAGAGGTACGACGTGCAGCAATTTCCTGACTATTGACACAAGCGTTTTGTGGTCGGTATACACCTTTGTCTTTCTTCCGAACGAATACTCTATGAAATGCTCCATGGCATAGACCACCGCAAGCATCTCGTTCTCAAGCTGCGCATAGCGCCGCTTGGTCACAGTGAGTACACGACTGCGGAAACCTAAAGGTTTTCCATTCTGTAAAATAACAGCACCTATTCCATCTTGGCTACTGTCACACTGTACCTCCAAAAGCTGCACGAAATCTTAATACCCAAGTACAGGCGCATTGCTGATGACGTGCTTAATAGTTTCGAATGCGGTTTCCTGTTCTTTTCACCAACTCTACTTTACTCTTTTGTGAGCTAACTTCCTGATTGGCGTCATGATATCAGCGAGCCTTGGCAAAAAACGGCTCAAGTAATTCATCATACTGTTTAGGCCAGGGTTTCCCAACCTGGGGGTAATTACCCCCAAGGGGGTGAAATGGCATTTTCCGAGGGGTAAATACCGATAATTGGATTTGGTCACAAATCAGTCGCGAAATAAGCTTAATAACGAAATCACACATCGCAACTAGCTCAGCATTTTTAGTTAGCCATCAGTCAATGCAGCTACTACGGCATGGCGTCTTTGTCGACTGCCACAACTGCTGCCGTGTTTTTGAATAAGCCAGTTGTTCACCGGGTCGAATAACGGGGTCGATAGCAAACCATCGTTTCAGCACTGGTCAAAGTACCAGTTATGTTCACAGGTGAATGTTTGACAGTAGGAACGGCGAGAAAGGGTGATTAGTGTTCACAAGGTATGGATACAGAATGGTGTCGGGAAAATGTCGAGGAATAACGTGGAACGGAGGAATGAAACACATGTTCATGTTTGATTAGGAATCAGACACGATGGGGTCCAGAGAGGGCCTGAATCGGGATAACGGTAGGCGTTTGAAAGGGCAGAGAAACGATACAATTGGGATCACAACCAACATAGAATCAGCAGATTGGACGTCAGTGAGCATTAGGTGTTACGTTGATCACTTTCATGAGCAGTTGTTTTTGGCGAGAAGTCATGGCAGGTGAGTATTTTCATTCAGCGGCTTTGATGCCGACAAAAATATATTTGTCTGCGAACGTTTGCGATAATGTCACCTGCATTGGATAACGAGATTAATTTCTATAAATGATATATATCTATAACATCTACCTACTTAACTGTTTGCAGGGAATACGTCTTCCAGAAAAAAGCGGTCCTACAAAGAAGCATTTCTGCAGTGGGGCTTCACTAATTTCGCTGATAAAAATGTTGAGAAACCGCAATGCGTTTTGTGCAGCGAAGTGCTCACGGCGGAGAGTATGAAACCTAGTAAATTGTAAGAGCACTTCGAACGAAGTCATGCCCATTTGATAGGAAAAGATATTACATTACTATCCAACGTCATGGAATCCATAGTTGCCGATGCACTGGTGTGCTATCTGGAAAACTGCAACCTCATCACTCCTGAACAGCACGGTTTCCGTCGACAGCGATCATGTACAACTAATTTACTAATTGCGCGCAGTAGTTGGACCGAGGCAGCCGACGCTGGAGAAGGTGTTGATGTGATCTACCTGGATTTTCCCAAGGCCTTCGATCGTCTAGACCATCGGATATTACTATCCAAGCTGCAGTATTACGGGATCGGCGACCCTCTTTTAAGCTGGATCGCCAACTTTCTATTTCAAAGGAAATTAGTGGTCAGAGTTCGGAGCTCTTTATCGGACCCCATACAAGTCGAGTGTGGTGTGCCGCAAGGCTCGGTTCTAGGTCCACGTTTGTTTTTGGTGTTTATAAATGACCTTGCGCAGGGAATCGCTTCAAACTTCCTAAGGTTTGCCGACGATATCAAGATCTGGCGCAGAATCCAGGCGAACGCCGACCAACATGTGCTCCAAAGTGACTTAGATACAGTGTATCAATGGTCGGTCCAAAACTTATTGCATTTCAACGTCAGTAAATGCAAGGTGCTTTCCATCCGACATCAAAGCAGCTACTCATACCGACTCGGAACGGACGTACTGCAACAATCAACTCTCGAACGTGACTTGGGTGTCCTGGTTCAAGATGACTTGGGTTGCTCCAGGCAATCCGAAAAGGCCTCGAAGACCGGGAACCAACACGTCGGGCTGTTGCAACGAGCGTTCGGACAAATAAACAGCTTCATATTTCGACAAATGCTCAGTGCGTATGTTCGCCGCCATGTCGAATATGCAACTCAAGCCTGGCATCCATGGCTGAAACACGACCTTAATGCACTGGAGCAGCCACAACGCCGGGCATCTAAGAAGGTAATTGGAATGCACAATCTTTCCTAGGAGAGGCTGCGATGACTGGGATTGTTCAGTGGAAGCTATTGCAGACTACGAGGTGACCTGATTATGACATACTTGATTCTGCGAGACCTACATAATGTGTGCCGCCCTTTACTGCAACTCAGCAGCAATACAAACCTGAGGGGTCACTCATTAAAACTCACAGAACAATACAGTCGTCTGGAGTGCCGCAGAAATTTCTTTTCCATCCGTGTCTGTCACCCGTGGAATGCTCTCCCAGAATCGGTCGTCTCTGCACCGACACTAACAATATTTAAAAGACGGTTGGACGATGCACTCATCCACTTACACTTTGTTACTTAACACTATGTCTCCATTCTACACCTGGAGTTTACCCTGGAATTATTTGTTGTTAACTGTGGGTGTTGTGAACCTAAGTGGATCGCAGAACTGCAGCGAAGCAAAAGATAAGTCTTTATTTTCGTATTTAAAGTATTAACTATTTTACTATCCTTTTCATCATAATTGTTATGTTGATATCCCCATCAAGTACCCAACGAAGCTTGTAAAGCAACGCTTCTTAACCCGTATAATTTCATTGTTCATTGTTCATTATTTAGAATGAAAGAAGCTGCGCTAAAACTTTCGCGCCTGGATACATCGAACTCCTTTTCTCAGGCAAATGAGGCTGGTCTTGAAGCTTCGTATCGCATTGCGCTTCGAATCGCCAAAAACAAGAAGCCGCATACCATAGGAGAGGACCTCATCAAACCTTGCATAATGGGTGCGGTTAAGCTCGTTCTTGGAGAACATCATGCGGAGAAGATTAATCTGATATCACTTTCGAACAACACCATCAAAAGTCGTATCGAGGACATGAGCAAACAAATTTTGAACACGGTGCTCAACGAAATAAGATCAAGTCCCTTCTTTGCAATCCAGTTAGATGAGTCGACCGACGTAGCGTCCTGTTCCCAACTACTTGTGTATGTTCGGTACCTAAAAAGTGATAGCTTCAAAGAAGAGTACTTGTTCTCAGAATCCTTGAGCACGACTACGCGTGGCGAAGATGTCTTCCGAATAGTAAAGAAGTTCCTCGAGGTAAACATGCCACTGTGGTCGAAGTTAGTGGGTGTCTGTACAGACGGAGCACCAGCCATATTGGGCGTCCGTTCCGGATTCCAAACATTGGTCAAAAATGTTGCTCCGCACGCTACCTTTAGTCACTGCATCATACATCGTTATGCTTTAGCAGTGAGCACTCTTCCACCTGCTTTACTTGACGTGTTAACCAAAGTAGTAAAGATAGTAAATGTCATCCGCGGTAGTGCGACCCACACAAGAATCTTCAAAGAGTTGTGCAATGAATTTGGAGGCAAATTCGACGTGCTACTTGTTGTGTCGGAACCCCACGATTGCTTCCACCCGCTAACGGTAGTGAGAACACGAACGACCGGGTAAAAAACAATCTTCACGCCGCACGCCCACCCGGCCACCAAACGTCTGTGTGTGCAACTCAATGACATGATTCAAATTAGGGCATGTACACAGGCTATGCAGAAAGGCTGACAATCGATCAATCAAAGCTAGTCATTCCCGGGCCGAAGGATCGATACGATGTCTCACGAACGAGCGAAATGTACAGAGTAAGGGAAAAACCATTAAGCATAAGCTTCAGTGTCACCCCAAGCTAGGCACAAAAGTGAAGTAATAGAAACGTATGTGGGGAACCGTAAAAGAGGACGGGGTGAGTGGAATAAAACTCACAAAACAACGGGGAGTGGTGGAATATTCTTACCTCCGTTATACACCTCTCCCTCCTTAAAAAAGTTAGTTACCTGTACGGAACATAGCTTTTCCGACGCGGGTCCACTTGAAACGGCTGTACGAATTTTCTTGTTCGTTGGGGTCTGTTCCGACCTTCTTATTCCGGGCATTCCCTTGGTTGAAATTCTCGGCGTGAAGAAGCACTTGGTTTGCCATTGTCGAGCAACTCATTAACATCAAATCTGTCGGCATTCTGAACATCACCTTCCAGTGTACACCGCAGTTTCAGCTGATTTGCGTGACGTCTCCATACCTGCGCACCAACTTGAACATCGTACATCACCCGTCCCCGACGTCGCACGATGCGTCCTGGTATCCAGCTGATCCGCCGTCCCTGAATAGCCGCTGCAGATACAAATTCGCCAACTCTGAACATCCTTCTCTGTGCTCCGTACCGCCTGTTGTATTGCTGCTCCATTGCTAAGTTCCTTGTTTGTGGGAGAGGACGCCTGGGTGTCAGCAAATCCAGTGTAGTTCTCAATCTGCGACCCATTAGGACTTCAGCTGGTGACTTCCCATCAGGTGCATTGGGATTGGGAGTCACTCGATAATTCAGTAGGAACCGGTCCAGTCTTTCGTCCAACATTCCCACGCTTTTGACTTCAAAAGTGCTCTTTTCAGGGTATCGACGAATCTTTCCGCTTGGCCATTTGACTGTGGATAATATGGTGCTGTCATCACGTGCTTGATTCCATTTTGTGCGCAAAACTCGGCGAATTGATAGGACGTAAACTGCGATCCGTTGTCGGAAATAACGGTTTTTGGTAGGCCATGCTGACTGAATACATGTCTCATTTCCGAGATCGTGCTGTTTGAGGACGTGGTTTGCATCCGGATCACTTCCGGCCACTTACTGTACGCGTCAACCATCAAAAGAAATTCCACCCCCTCGACTGATCCTGCGAAATCAACATGTATGAGCGACCAGGGAGATTCTGGATTCGACCAAGATTGCAATTGCACACGCACCGGCAGTTTGGATGCACTGATTCATCTGGAACAGGATCGACCGATATCTTCAATTTGGCTGTCCATCATCGGCCAAAAGACGTAGCTGCGAGCGAGTGCCTTCATGCGGGCAATTCCTGGATGGCCCTTGTGCAGCTCTCTTAGTATGCGCTGTCTGAGCACTTCTGGGATGACTATGCGATCTGCGAAAAACAGACAGGAATCAACTTCCGACAATGCGCCTCGCCTTGTGAAAAACTGGGTCAAAGCTTCGTTCGGACACTTCTTTGGCCATCCACTTCTTGTATAGGTTAATACTACTTGTAGCACAGCGTCCTGTTTGGTGGCTTGCGCAACCATTAAAACTATTCACTGGCAAGTTACACAATGCGTCTTGTATCATGTAGCTGACATCCGATTCGGCTGCAATGGATGCAATGACTGCGTCTTCTTGATAGTGTCTACCGGTATTGATCAGTCTGGACAGGGCGTCCGCTTGTCCAATAGAATCAGTGGACAAATACCGCATGTCAAAATCATACCCCAGGAGCAGAGTTACCCAGCGCTGAAGTCGACTGGCTGTATATGTCGGAATGCCTTTCTTAGATCCAAAGATTGCCAAAAGCGGTTTGTGATCAGTTACTAGCGTGAATCTTCTGCCATGTATCATCTTGTGAAATCTCTGTACGGCAAAGATGATAGCCAACGCCTCCTTCTCAATTTGACTGTAGTTCTTTTCAGATGCGGTCAGAGCTCGTGCCACATGTGCCACAGCCTTTTCGGACCCGTCTGGAAAGCGATGTGAGATGACAGCACCAATTCCATAACTCGAAGCATCCGTAGCCACGACAATCTCCTGCTTCGGATTGTAATGCGTAAGGAGCAAATCTGATTTCAGCAGAGATTTGAGTTTGTCAAAAGCTTAGCCTAGTGTTCATTGGCCGCTTCTCCTGGTTGGCTCTCTGTTCGCCCCAATCAGGGCGGATGGGTTTGGATAGCCGGCCGAGGCGATGGGATCCTGGCTTGTTCAACTCGTGTATTCCTTCCTAACACTATTATTGCACACAGAAGTGCGTTGGTTGTCACGAGGCAGGGTGTTGCACCGAGTGCTTCAGCTTCGAGAGGAAATTGCAATCTTTCTTCGAAGAAAAGAGATGCATAAGGGTAAGGGAAACAAGTTACACGTTATTATAACGGACAGCGTGTTTATTTCGAAACTTGCTTATCTTGCTGATTTCTTTGGAGAAATCAATGCGCTTAACCTCAGCCTGCAAAGGAATATGATGAACATTTTAGTCGCTCAGGATAGAGTAGCCGGTTTCCTTCGCAAACTGCAGCTTTACCAGCGCTCGGTTGATGTTGACGACGTGGCGATATTTCCAAAACTAACGACGGTGCTCGTTGAAAGAAATGAAAAATGCGCATTCACGAATGAAATATATTGCCACTTGTCATCAGTGATGAATTCCATCAGCAAATATTTTCCTGATTTGGAAACTCGCCAATTAAGTGCCTGGGTGCTAAGACCGTTTACAGTAGCTGAAGGAATATTTTCAGATACTGAATTCGAAATCGGTACAATTCCTAGGAATGCGCGAGGACAGCGGATTGAAGGTAGATTTCCAAAGCACGCAACTGGTAACATTTTGGGCAAAGATAGGCGAAGAGTATCCATTACTGTCGGAAAGCGCATTGAGAATATTGATCCCATTTGCAACAACTTATAAATGTGAAAGTGCATTTTCGACAATGATGGTAATGAAAACAAAAGCAAGGAATCGAATGAACTTGGAGCACGACCTGCGATGTGCATTGGCCGAAACTGCACCAAATATACCAGAAATTGTTACCACCAAACAATACCAACCGTCTCATTGATGTATATCGCCTCTTGTTTGCATAGAATTTTGAATTAAAAGGACTGTTTTCTTTCGTTTATTTGTCGAGGGAGATTCCGCATACCGATCACTTCTCGTACTTAAGTCGGATAATTATGTAGTGAGAAGGGGTGTTTCCTTCAATTGCATGAGCACGTGAAACTACATATGACATTTGTTTTTGAACTTTAGAGCGAAATGTGCAATAGTTATTACGTAGTAGTCTTTCGAAAGTTTGGGGGTAAAAGTCTGGTGGGCAACCCCCTTTGTGGGTAACGGCGTCTAAAAGGTTGGGAACCACTGGTGTAGGCGAATGAATCCGCTTCATGTCGTTAGTGGACGGCATCTCTCGAATTGCCTTACTTTTTCTGCATCGACCTGATCCCTTGGGTTGTTAGCAAATGCCCATTGAAAATCACCTCGCCTTTCCGAAGTTTAATTTCCTCACGTTCAACGTTGATGGTATTTTTTACACAACTCTGCAAGCATCCGTAGAGATTAACGCCATTCTCTTCTTCTGTCGAGCCATAGATGAAAACATTGTTGCCACGTATGTTACGCCATCTAAATCGTCTACCGCTTGCACCAACCGCTTTTGAAAACGTTCACTCGATACCTTCAAACCGAACGGTAAACGCCGTCAACGATAACGCCCGGGCGGTGTTGCAAAGTTAGTAAGGAAGCTGAATTCAGCATCTAGAACCATGTGCCAGAATGCCGAAGAGAGGTCTAGCTTCGTAAAACCCTTGGCTTTGGCCTAAACGCGGCAAATGCCTTCTAGGTTAGGTATCGCATTGTGCTGTCTACGCAGGACTTCATTCAATGATTTTGAGTCAATACACACACGCAGTTTTCCCGTCTTCTTCGTAATGATTGCGACCTGATTTACCCAGTCGGTTGGTTCGTTGACTTTGGCAATCACCTCCTCTCTCACTAATTTGCTCAATTCAGCTGAGAACCTTTCACGCAGTGCAAACGGAACTCTCATAGCCGGTAGAGATGTCTGTCGTAACAAAGGATCTAAGGACAAGTGAGCGGTTCTTTCAAAATTTCCTAATCCGGGGCTTAACACAGACGGATGCTGGTAATTAAGCTCGGTTTCTTCTAGACGAGCATGCGCAAAACGATCACGATTGAAAGCAACAAAACTGTAAGACTAGATGGAATCAATGCCGAGAAACGTCGTGACCTTCTCCTTCACGATCGTAAGCTCCAGTCGATGTGAGGCTCCGTGGTTTGGGTTAACCACTTCGATTGTAGCTGAGCCCTTCTGTTGTCGTCTGGAACTATCCCACATATGCAGGCAACCTTGATCGGATCAAATGCACACTCCGGAAAAGTGATTGCTTGGTAGAACATTGGCAGTTGCTACCGTGTCTGGCTGGACTCGTACGGCTTTGCCTTCGATCAAAAGACTTGTGTAGACACATTTTGCGGCGCCCACCAAGACGATTTGCCAGTTGAATATTTTGCATCTGCAGATGACTTGTCACGAACGATTGAACACAAATTGGTTGATCGGCAGCAACGAGCATAGTAGTTCTTTGTTCCACATTTGACTCGTCTCCGACCCCATTCTGGACACCGTTCGCGGGATCTCGTGAGTAATTGGGCGCAAAATTTACAGATCTCTTGTCTCACGTTAATAGCCATCGCTGCTTCGCATCCGGAAACAGCACACAGTTCTGCTTCAGTTGCGAGTTTCATTTGCTGGTACTGATA